AATAATAACATTGTGAATACATTATTATTTAAAAAAATAAGACTATCAACATAGGAAAAACTCAAAAAATAAAATAGATAAAAATAAATTACCCGTTATTATTTACTTACCAAAATCAACATATTATAACTTAAAACTTATTAAATTAAAAATAACTCATTATTTATTTAAAAAAAAACTATACATAAGTAAAAAAATATCAAATCCAAAAAATAATTAACTTATTAGGTCTGTTTTGGTCCAAACCCAAAACATTAAAAGTTAAAAATTAATTAACTTGTTATTGGACCTGTTTTGGTCCAAATCTAAAACATTAAAAGTAAAAAATAATTATTTAAAACATAAAATATAACTAAAAAATTATTAAATCCCTTCTTTTTATTCTTATGTACTACAGCAAAAATGGCTTATTGCGGCATTTTTTTTACTTATAGCAGCGTTTTTAAGCGCCGCTAAAAACACCTACGGCGTAAAAACAACGCCGCCGTAAAAATAGCGCCGCTAAAGTTTGCGGCGTTTTTCAACAAAAAAACGCCGCAATATGTTACAACATATAGCGGCGATTGTTCAACAAACGCCGCAAAAGGTATTGATATTTAGCGGCGTTTAGAATTAAAAACGCCGCAATAGGTGTTGATATTTAACGGTATTTGGCAGACAAACGCCGCAATAGTCGTTGATGTTTAGCGGCGTTTTCTTCAAAAACGTACAACAGTCTTATGTAATGTCAGTTGTCATAAATATCTTCATCAACGTCCTCCCGAACCCATTGAAATTGTGTTGTATTACTGATAGTTTCATCTAAGTTTTGTGGTAGTAGAGGTAAACACTCTGATCTTGTTTCAATGTCATCTCTACTTCCATCCCCGATGTCTATCAAGTCTCTGGGAGTATTTCGAAGCACAACATACCAACCGTCATCCATTGGATCGTGACAATAAAATACTTGTTTCACTTGAGAGGAAAATACATATGGTTCATCCATCAAACGTTGACCCGTGTGAATTAATCGAGAGAAATTCACCATTGAAAACCCGAATTTATCTCTTTTTATACATATGTTTACATCAACCCAGTCACACCGAAACAACACAACCTTTCGTTTTCCATAATAATCTAACTCAATAATGTCCGTAAGATTTCCATAATAATCGACCTCTCCATCCTGCGAATTATTGTCCCTTACAGTAGCATAACTTGTAGTTGATGAAGTAACTACGACTCCACAATTTTGTGTCCTCCTTAATCTTTCACGAGATTTCGTGTGAAGCCTGAACCCATTAATGAGGAAGGCATTATATCTTTTAACTATTCTATTCGGACCTTGAGAAAGCCATTTAACTTCTTCACTAACTTCTCTCCCACTCCAAACCTATTACACTTGAATGGTGAATTAATTTGCATTGATGTCGATATAAAAAGCAAGACATATATTATTTATAAGTGTTCGTAAGATTTAGTTGCTTACGTCTGGCCTAACCATTCATGAAAAGTTTCTGTGAATAACTTATGTAGCTCTCGCTGATTTAATCTTCGGGAGCGTGCTCGAGATCTCAATACTTCTTTAAACTCACTATAAAGAATATTATGTCGTTAAAAATTGATAAATATAAAAGATAAAGAGATTTCATTAGGATTGGGTCCGAAAGACTTACGTGCGAAAGTGATCTATTGAATCGTGATGGAAAAGAATATATCGGTGTGCTTGTACCCAAGACGTGTCATCTAAATGTGCAATTTCAACTTTCCCTAATGGTTGACCATAACTTCCAAACAAATAATGTTGAGTTAAGTCATCAGTACCTAACTCATCATTTCGATTTGGTCTATTCCATCTTGTTTCAACATGTTCCAAATATCTAGAGCAAAATGTCATACATTCCTCTGCCAAATACCCTTCAGCAATTGATCCTTCCGGATAACGCTTATTACGACAATAAGACTTCAACTTGCCCAAGAACCTATACAGAAAACAACATACTACGTAAATACATTTTATTCAAATGTATAATCAGTAGTAATTTGAAACGTGTAATTCAATTAACACCTCTCTATAGGGTACATCCATCGATAGAAAACGGGACCACCAACTCTTGCTTCGTGAGGAAGATGAATTAACAGATGCACCATAATTGTGAAGAATGAAGGCTGAAATATCTTCTCCAAGTTGCATAAAGTCAAGGCAACTCGATCTTGTAGTTTATCAAGTTCTTCAACCATTAGAACTTTCCCACATATGGCTTTCATTATATTAGAAAGTTCAATGATACAAGACGTCACCTTACTCGACATGCAACCGCGAACAGCTACTGGTAGTAAATCTTGCATTAATATGTGATAATCATGAGACTTTAAACCATAAAGTCTTCGATCTTTAACACTACCACATCGAGAAATGTTTGATGCATACCCATCTGGGACCTTTATATCCTTCAACACCGTGCAAAACACTTCTTTTTCTTTCTTCGAAAGAGAAAAAATAGAAGGCGACAAGAAATTTCTTCCATTCGGACGTAATTGCGGATGAAGATCATGTCGAATTCCCATGTCCACTAAGTCAAGTCGACTCTTAAGATTATCTTTAGATTTTCTGCCATCATTCAGAATGGTCCCGATAATATTCTCACAGACATTCTTCTCAATGTGCATTACATCAAGATTATGTCTCAAAATCTTCTTTTTCCAATAAGGCAACTCGAAGAATATACTCCTCTTTTTCCACAAGTCTACCTCATTTGGATCATCCTCTTCATCATACTCATCATCAGTTTGTTCGTCAACTTCAAGCTCTTCATTGACCTGTTTTGCCTTTTTATTTGATCGTGTACTAGTTGGTTGATTCATCTTTCCATAAGTAAAATTGATATTTTTCAACATTTGAATATTTCAGAGCCGGTTGTTTGGTCAGGAGCATTTCGAAACTCTCATCACCATCAAACATATTCTTTTGACATCTAAATCTATGATTATCAGGTAACCACCGACGATGTCCCATATAAGAGAACTTTTTTCCATTAACCAACCACTTCGAACATGTTTGTGCAGCACAACAAGGACAAGCATAACGACCTTTGGTACTCCAACCAGATAAATTTGCATACGTAGGAAAATCATTAATTGTCCATAATAAAGTAGCGCGTAAATTAAAGTTCTCCTTCGTCAACACATCGTACGTTTCGACCCCTTCCCATAACTGTTTCAACTCTACAATTAGCGGCTGCATGTAAATATCAATATCATTTCCGGGGCCTTTCTCGCCGAGGATTATTATGGATAAGATGAAAGATGATTGTTTCATGCAAATCCAGGGAGGCAAATTGTATGGAACAAGTACAACAGGCCAAGTACTATACGAAGTACTCATGAGTTTGAAAGGATTAAACCCATCTGTTGCAAGACCGAGCCTGACATTTCGAGGATCTCTCGCAAAAATTGGATACTTGTTGTCAAATGACTTCCAAGCTAAAGAATCTGCAGGATGCCGTAATAATCCATCATCGGTTCTGCCATCATGATGCCACCTCATAGACTCAGCAATCTTGGAGGACATAAACAATCTTTGTAGCCTAGGTATGAGAGGAAAATATTGCAGAATCTTGATCGGTTTCTTTCTTGATCGTGCTTGAGCTTCATCCTCAGTAACATTTTCTGCCTCTCTAGTAATCCATCGAGATTTTCCGCATACATGACAAGACTCCTGATTTTTTCGATCACCCCAATATAACATACAATCATTCGGACAACTATGAATTTTGTCATATCCAAGACCCAAATCTTTGATCATTTTCTTCATATATTTGCATGATTGAGGGATTTTTGCAAAAGGAAACACTTCTCCTAGTAACTCCAACAATTGCGTAAAGGAGTTACCAGTCCACCCTCCCAGGCATTTTAAGTGGAAAAGACGAATGCAGAAAGAAAGCTTTGAAAACTTTGATCCCTCATAAAGTTGTTCATTCATTTCATTCAGCAACTTGTAAAACTTTGCCGCTTCTCCATTTGGCTCTTCATCACATCCACTTCTTCCAATCTCAGTGAAATCATTAACATCATCCTGACAATAATTTTCTGTATCATACGACTGATGATTGTGCATATTAAATGCATATCGTAACATCCCTTCCATGTCATCTTCTCTAAAAGTTGGATGGGGAGAAGGAGCACGATAAGTTGAGTAACTCGTGGAAGCAGATCTATCTGATACAATCTCTCCATGAAAGATCCATTTTCTATACCCCCGAACAAATCCAAAAATTACTAGATGCTCGTACACAACTTCACGAATGTGCCAATTAATGTTCACACAATTCTTACAAGGGCAAAGAATCATATTTTCTTGGCTTGCATTCAGAAAAGCTAAATTTAGAAAGTTTTCGACTCCATTTCGATATTCGACGCTTACCCTTGAGAAATCCATCCAACTCTTATCCATTTCGTATTTCTGGAGTTTCAATTTCAAATGTTAATTGCTAATAATATAGATAAAATTAGAACCTAAACAGAAGCATTAAATTATCATATTTAGTGCATAATAATATTTGCATAGTATAAAACTAATCACTCGTAAATTATACAACTTTTAAATTGATAAAATTGTATGGGAGCAAATGTATCTCAGTTAATTTATAAAAATTATAACGAGAATTATATACAACTGCATACTATAGAACTAAATACTTACACATGTTTCATCGAAATGTAGCATTTACATATAAACAGACTCATGTGAAATATAACCAGATTTAGATAGCTACCATAATCTTCTAGCATCTCTTTGTTCATTTGGTTTTCCCTCTGCGTTTATTTATATGATAGAGTGATAGAGTGCTGTTAGTAACCAATCACCCTAATAAATCTGCATTAGAATCTAATTTATTCATATTATTTGAAGCCTATAGAATGAGATTACAGATTAATTTATCATCTGTGATTTTGTTTTCAATGTTGACGTTGGAACACCGAAAAGTAGTGGAAATTCAAGTTATCGGTGGTGATATTTCTAAGTGGGAGAAAAGATGGACTATGTGTATGGACCGGGAAAGAACTATCTCTTTATTCCGGGGCCGGTTAACATCCCAGAACCGGTTATTCGGGCCATGAACAGGAACAATGAGGATTACCGTTCCCCTGCCATTCCTGCAATGACAAGAACTCTTCTTGAAGATGTCAAGAAGATTTTCAAAACTACCACCGGCACTCCCTTTTTGATCCCAACTACAGGTATTTATTGTTTTAATCACGCTACCATGTTTTCAGCTATCCATCTGAAGTTAATACTTAAGATTGACCGACTTGAAAACTAATAGCATTAATCAATCACATAAGTAATATGTTGTTAATACTTAATAATAGTATCTTACCTGTTTCAGATTAGCTAACGAAGATAATGTTGGTGTTTGAATTCAGGAACTGGTGCATGGGAGAGTGCACTTACTAATACCCTGTCCCCTGGAGATCGAATTGTATCTTTCCTTATTGGACAATTCAGTCTGCTGTGGATTGATCAACAACAACGCCTCAAGTTCATCGTCGATGTAGTTGAAAGCGAGTGGGGTCAAGGTGCGAACCTTGACATTCTGGCGAAAAAACTTGCAGTTGATCACGCCCACACAATCAAGGCCATTTGCATTGTTCACAATCATGCAACCAAAAAATCTTTGTTAACAACAATGCAACAATAAAATAATTAGACTTTCCATTTTTCCATGAAACATTAGCTTATTAGCAGCAAAATCCGAAAAGAAACTCGATTGAAACTACATCACACGAATCGCTTATTAGCTTATTAGCTTATTTCCAGTTTTCCATGCAACAAGAAATGTTGTTGGCAAGAAGAGAAACTCGATTGAAACTACATCACACGAATCGCTTGAGATTAGGTAATGATTGTACATACCTTGTTTCAAAGCTGAGATTGAGATGGTCGGAAATTTGTGACTAGAAATTAACGACAACAGCTTGATGCGCCGCGACGTTGATGATTGGTTGTGCAACAGTGGTCACCCGCGGCGTGATGGTGGTGAGTGGTGCACCGATTTGTCAAGTATGCACTGCTAATTCGAGGAAGAAGATTTGGGGATAAAACAAATAAGGGATTCGGGCTGTAGAATTGGGGATATATAAATTAAAGGACAATTACGGCGTTTATATTAAAAACGCCACAAAGGAACTATTCTATTACGGCGTTTATTACGAAAATGCCACTAAGGGACACACTATTGCGGCGTTTATGTCACAAACGCCACTAAAATACAACTTTTTAGGGGCGTTTTTTAAAAAACGCCACTAAATTCAAAGTATTTTACGGTATTTTCTTAAAACACGCCGTTATAAATGACAATATACAACTCTATTGCCACTACAATATTACTCTTTTGCGGCGTTTTTGGATACAAATGCCACAACATATCAGATCTATAGCGGCGTTTCTGGATACAAACGCCGCTAATTACCTTTTATTTAGATAATATTAGTTGATTTTACATATTTCATTTCTAATGTACATCAACTAAATTGACTGATATATGTATAAACATTATATGGAGAGCTATTGTTGTTCCAGAGAAGAAGCTTTGAGGGAAGAAGAGTTTAAATGATTTTAGGGTTTGGGTAGGAGAAAAAGAGGATTATATATTTAACATTTTGCGGCGTTTATACAAAAAAAACGCCACTATTGATTACACTATTGTGGCGATTGTTAAAAAACGCCACTATTGATTAAAACTATTGTGGCGTTTATCTAAAAACGCCACTATTGATTAACACTATTACGGCGTTTGTGGTATAAACGCCGCTAATTTACCGATATATTGCGGCGTTTCTTAACAAACGCCGCAAGAAACCACACTATAGCGGCGTTTTTTGTAAAAACGCCACTAAAGTATAAATTTGTGGCGCTACGATTGTAAACGCTGCTATATGTTTAACTTTTGTGGCGTTTTCTTTCCAAACGCCGCTACATATCAGTTTTGCTGTAGTGTGTATGGTGCATGAGTGAGAAGGAGGCATAAAGGCAGAGCAAATATTAAAAAAAAGAGATTTTTTGTTAAAATTCGTCATTTATCTTCTTTATTTTTTCATGTTTTTAAATTTTCTTTGCTTGCTAGCTTGATTCCTGTCAAATATACCCAAAAAATCTTACTTTGCTGTTTGCATGTTACACCAAAAGAAAAACAAGAAGAAAGATAAAATAATCATGTACTTCTCTTCAAAGTGAAATTTTTTTTTCTGATTTTGTTTGATTTTGAGTTTGGACAATTAAATTTGAGAGAAAATCTGAACTTTTATTTTGAGTTTGGTGTTGACTTGGTGTAATGGAAAATAACGGGAATAATGGGTCGTTACAGTCGCGATCGGCCGTTACACGTTAAGTTGCGGCCGCTATCGGCCGTTATTGTTGTGATTCTCGCGTCACACCGCTTCTTTGAACAATATCAATTTCGGATGGTGACGTTACCGTAAAATAGCTGCCGCAATAGCGCTTTCATTCCGCTATTTGAAACACTATAACAGAACGATTAGCACATAAGAATGCAAGTTTTGAATAGTCATCAGCCAACACCTCTCCGTATAATTCTTGTCTTTGCGGAGGGAGCGTTGCTTTTTGGGACCAAGCCAAGCAGAAACGGAGCGCTGGTGGGGAGAAATTGTGTACATTTCACACCGTTGATGGAAACGGACTTCATCTTTCCGCCATGCGCCGCCATGTTTGCCCTTCTCTACTTCTCCTTTTTCTTATTTTATGAGTAGAAACAGACACAGACAGAGCAAATTTCAAGCGGAACAAGGAAATCATGGCACAAACGGAAGAGGCTTCAAGCCTTTCTGCGGCTGCTGCTCATTTGTCTCCCTCTTGCTTACTTTTCAGCTGGGTTTTTATGCCTAGAGAGCCCTTTACTCACCGTGGTTCCCCCTTTAAAAGCAGCGTGTTTGTTCAATATATAGGGGAAAGGAAGCGGTATGTAATGGCCGGATATTTAGGGGTGTTGTGGAATAGTTGAGATACGTGGGGGTTAAACATGGGGCCATTTAGATCATGCCTCAGCTGATGTTGAGTTGACTCAGCAGTCCTTTCCCAGCACAAATTGATCACTGGGATGTTGCATGGAGGGCTGCAAAATAATATTAATTAATTAATAACAATGATAAGTATAATATATTTTTTTGTCCGGATAAAAACGAGTGTCTACATTAGGCATGTTCCTATGCCACTATGGTGCAAGGTAACAGCTTGTTCCTATAATCTCTGTAAACGATTTGCTTTGTTTAGGCATCATTAGCTTGACCAAACTAAAATTTATGATCTTCATCTCGATTAGTATATTTTTCAGGTTTGATGTCACAATGGATGATTTGGATGACATTCTTCGTGCAAGTAAAATATTTCTCTAATTATGTTCAATATTATACCAATTCTTCTTTCCCAATGTATCTTCAAATTGGATCTAAAGAGAAGATATGCAAGTGTCCCTCTTTTCATGTACTCATACTCCAAGAGCTTATTGGTTTTATCATAGTAGTAACCAAGCAACTGAACTAGGTTCACGTGAAGAGTTTTCCCCATTGCTTTCATTTCATATCTGAAATCTTTTTCTTCTTCGGCCATTACTCTTTTAAGTCTTTGGTATGAAACCTCCGAAGACTGTCATGTATCTGTCTCTCCCAAAGCAATTCGTCAAATTGCTAGTTGCACTCTTTATCTCTTCTATGTGAATGACTTTAATGTGACATTCCCAACAATACTATTATCCTGCTAGTCTATAATCCTTGTGTTGTTGAATCCGATGTCAGTACATAAGAACACCAGAGAACTCTAAAAGGTATAGCGCGACTGACAAACATGAAATGCTTGAAAAGAAGATGTTCATTCAAAGTTCTCGCTTCTTGAATTTCTCTAAACTTATTTTTTGAGAACATGTTGCCATTTTTACAAATGTTGTCGATCTACCTCTTTCCTGCTTTTCTGTATCTTAATGGAAGCTTCAATTTTTTGCCTACTTCCTTGATGCTTTGATATATGACAATTGCACAGTTAAAATCTCGACTGCATTCTTCTTTGCAATCATTTTTCAATCTCGGGTTAAAATTAGTATAATAATCTTCATCCCAAGATAAACGATATAGTTCAATAACGCCAGAGTTATGGTCCTTTCTGGTGCAAGCATCTTCGGTATAATTTATTCGGCATCTCTTTTTGGAATCATTATCTTTTGGAACTAAACTTCTTTAATAAATCTGGGATAAGTACAAGGCAATATCATTTGGAGCGTCGTGATTCCTCATTATCGTCGAGTATTTTACCCAATTTAGCTTGCCAATTTTAAGAACCTTTTTTCTTTAAAATACCACTATAGCTTTGTGAGCATTTTGTGTCATCCTCAAAAATTTGATAGTGTTTCAGTTTGTATGAACCGAAGAAATTAGCAACCTCAGATATCAACATTGTCGATGTAGTTAACCATAGTTGATGAACCTTGGTATCTTGGTCCAATTGTTCCACTTGAATTCCATCATCTCCTTCAACATGGTTTTCCTTTGTTTCAGTGGTGTTAGAAGAAACTATGTTATTTCAACCTTTTGAATATCAACTTTCTTACCAGCCTGAAACAATTTATCATCAGTTTTAGAGTTTGTTAGTGTTGACTATTTATCAAACACATGGGTGATCATTGTGCTTAGGTTGACTCCATTAGTGCACGGGAAGTCATCTGCCTTACTACCCTAAATCAATTGATCACCAATTTCAGAGTTTATTGGTGTTGGCAATTCATTGAACACATGGGTTATTATTGTGCTTAAACCGTCTCGTTTAGTCACTACTTTCTTTTATCCATCAATTTTAAATTGTGCCTTGAATGTTAGTCCAACTGTGATGATATAACAGCTAGTTGGCATTCCACCTCTTGAAGTGTTTGTTGGATCTTTTTGTTCACTTGTTTTTACTCTTCAGCATGCTCTTGCAGAAAACTTAACAATTGTTTGTAGCGAGCGACGGTTTCCTGCACCATAGTTCATTCTTTGTGATCGTTGGTGATCGTTGCTGGATTGCTAGCTCCTCTACAGATGTGTTCTCAATTCTCCCTATTACTGCCTCTGTCCTATCATAAACACTTGCCTATACTTTTGTTTTTTTCTTTGTACAGGATATCATGTCTTCTCAATCAATCATACAGATAAGACAATCCTTTTGGTGGAATAGGGCAATCACCACAAAGGAAGGAAATCAGTACATACTTTTTATGACGGTAAAAGAAAGTTAAAAACAGCAATAGTTTTGTTGTATGACGTGAAAATTGAAGGTTAATTTATAACTGATTTTAATCTAAAATATTATTATGTCTATTATGAAATGTTACACGAATGTTTTAGTGATAACATTTTAAGTTCCAACGAGAATATTATGAAATGTATATGATTTGTGATGGAAAACATAATATTTCAGTTTTAACATAAAATATTACTTAATTTATTTTAAAAGGTTCGTATTTCATAAATTTTTTAATTACAACCTATTAATTTTTTTTTTGTTCTGTTGTATCTTACACTCCCCTTAAAAAAAATACTACAACTCTAATTTTAAGTGATGTTCTTGTATAATACGTTTAAAACATACATTTTCACATCTTGAATTAAGGGGAATAATATGTAAAAATAAATTATTATTATTATTATTATTATTTCA